ATTTTCGGAGAGCTGTTCCAAGTCTTTTGACAACATGATTAGTGCAGTCCTCCTTTAGCACAGGAACACCTTCATACAAATTTAGTTCTGACAAGGTAGTATATGCTTTGCTGTCCCCATCAGAAAGGAATGTTGTGAACTAGAGAGGTGCGGTGTGGAAGTCCTTCTTTTTCCATATACATACTGCAGCCTCGGTCTTCATTGCATGTGCTGAACAGGTAGTGTCTTTTTCACACACAGGTGTGTGAAAAGCTTGCCAGATTTCTTTTTCCCCATCCTCCAGTGCTTTGTGCCTGCTGCAGCTGAGGAAATAGTTTGACAGCACCTCGAAGACTATTGTGGCAAAGAAAACGGCTATACCCACACCATTATGGCTTTTTTGGCCTCTTTTTGTCAGTGCAAGGTTTTCGGCGGCGGCTTTCTTGGCGGCTGCGTGCACTTTTGTGGCGATGGCCGTGAAAGTCTTATGATGCACTGTTTTTGTTGTGCCAAGGATCACGCGAAACCGCACAAGTTGATCATGACCGACGCCAATCGCACACGCTGCGACCGCTGACTACATGTTCACGACAAAGCTATCCCGTGCGCTACCGCTGGCGGATGAATCCTCCCTTTCACTACATGACGCAGACACATGGCTTGACGTGTACGTCGATGAAACAACAGTTGTAGCACATGCGTTATTTCGGCAATAATGTTCCAAAACAATGCCAGTCCTTTTCGTCTATTTGCCGATTCTCAGACAGACAGCTCGCACAGTCCGCAGTTGGGGCATACTGCTCTGCTGACGAGGTTCTGCATCAAGTCGATCTCACAAATAAATGTGCTGCTGCGCTCATCTTGACGCTTGCTTCTGTCGTCGAACATCTTCATTTTTCTCTCTGAAGAACTGACGAGGTCATCGGCGCTATGGATGAAGCTCGAAGAATCCAAATCGGGTGCTTCGCCGTTGCTGGGGCTAGGCCTAGCAGCAGACGAACCTTTCGTCGCCGGAGCACTACACTTGCGCTTGGTGAGTCTTCCCTTGAACTGGTGCCGCGTCATAAACTTTTGTGAACAAAAGTCACGGTTTTCGCCGGCATCGATGGGCACCATGGCGGGAAAAAGTAACTCGGTCGGTTGTGTCTGTCGTCTCGCCTCGGCAAAGGAGGAGAACAAATAAAGAATGCTCGCATTTGGATGCATGTCGGAATGCTCGCAACCAATGGCAGCGCTCCAGTCATGCCACGTGACTTGAAAGGTCCACTCGCCACGCTGCGGTGGTCTAGTGACTAAGGTACTCGGCTGCTGACCTGCAGGTTGTGGGATCGATTCCCGGCTGTGGCGGCTGCATTTCCGATGGAGGCAAAAATGCTGTAGGCTCGTGTGCTCAGATTTGGATGCACGTTAAAGAACCCCAGGTGGTCGAAATTTCTGGAGCCCTCCACTACGGCATCTCTCATAATCATATGATGATATGATGGTTTTGAGACAGTAAGCCCCACATATCAATCAAATCAATCACTCACCATGCTACAATGCACTGGGGAAATGATTGTTTTCATTGTATTTTCAGCGAGAATGTCCCGCTGCCGAAGTGGGCTTTGGGAGAAGAGGGTCTGGCCTACGTGCCCCCGAAATTTCAAGAGCCGGCGATGCCGCAGAGCGAAGTGCCATGTGCGCGAACATCGGGTAATTTCGCACTTTCACAAGCCACCGTGAGTGCTTTCATTTCATTTTTTTATAACTTCTAGCTGATTCTTGGCTTTAATTTTTTATTACATTGAGGAGAACGCTTAGGTGAACACAAAACACAACAAAACACAAAATGGCTTTGTTCGAAAAAAATCGTGCTTTTTCAACCCGCATCTCCCCTTAAAAAAAAAAGGCAAGAGCATAAAAATGAGACCAAGGAAGCACACACCAAGATGGTGCGATTTGCTGGTGCATGTCTAGTCGTTACCAACAAAGAGGTTTTACCACTGTATTACTCCTGCTATCCTCCTACATCACACTGCCAACCAGGTTGACATATTCAAAGTCCACCAGTTTTCCGCACCCTCTCCAACCCCCCCCCCCCCCCCCACATGCTGATGAGGCATTTTGCAAAGATGTTTCTGCTGGGTTGATGGAATAGCACCCCGGTAGATACAAGATGTATCATAACACTGGTGCAGTCAAGAATGAACTTGCGGTGCTGAAGGTGTTGTATATTGGCAGTGAACGAGACAAGACGAATGGGAAATTGCCAGCATTATGCAAAGTATACAAAGTGTCTCGATGCACTGCCGTATAATCCTGAGCAACCCCCCCCCCCCCTTACGGTGAAATGTAATTTGACAAGAATTGGGGGGAGGAGGGGAGTGCACCTGTTTAGTAATGCATCAAAATTGAATGCATCTGTGGAAGAGCTGCTAAGAATAAAAAATGCACCCCCATGCTTCTAACAAAAAGTTTTATTGAATATGCCTGCATTCCCTGTTTGCATTCACTCTTATTAACCTAATAAAAATAGTGAATGAAACAGTGAAATTAGCATCAGGGGAAAAGAGGCTGCACATTTGAATTCTTCAGTGGAAGGGAGGGGCACACTTGCTTGGAATTTTACGTAGTCTGCAAACAAAGGTAATCTGTACCATCAGCTAAGGCGTGCATCAATGGAGATACAATTAGAGTACAGGGTTTTTGTGTTAAAGTGCTGTTCAAATGTGACCATCAAGAACTTATATGCTAGACTGATTTATTAACTTAGGAGTTTATATACGTAGCATATATCAGGGACATTACGGCAAGACAGCCACTGAAAGGGCAAATTCCATCTGCAGGGTCTCTTAAAAAAAAGGATCCCTATCACGATTATGCTAAATCTGCTGTGCTGTATGCTATAGTGCATAGGTTTCGAGCTTAGAGTTTCACTTGACCGAGGTTACATTCATCATCATCAGTCTGGCTAAGCCCACTGCAGGACAAAGGCCTCTCCCATGTTCCGCCAGTCAATTCGGTCCTGTGCTTGCTGCTGCCACTTTATACACAAACTTCATAATCTCATCTGCCCACCTAACTTTCTGTCTCTTCCTCACCCACTTGCCATCTGGGTGGTCACATTGAACAATTTTTACTTCAGAAAAGCACACAGTCTTGGTGCTACAGGTCCAAATTTTTAGCAATACTAATAAGATAGTGGCACAGAAAGCAATAAGAATGAGCCAACAACAGTCAATAAAAAGGCATATGATGAGTAATTTAGCCATAAAAAGAACTTACAGCTAGGAATAACAGCAAACATGAAATATTTTCTCAGAATTGATCCCAATGGAATGCTGGAAAGTGAACTGCTTTGACTACTTAGTATGCTATGCAGCCAACTTTCTGCAAAACAAAAGGTTAGCTGCATTTGCACATTTTTCACTAACCATATTCAAGGCTAATATGGAATGCCTTGGACTTCTTCAGTCCTGAACAAAAGTGCACTGAAGGCCTTCACAACTGTAACCTCACAAAAATCTTGCTTGTAGGACCATTTTGACCGTTGAAACTAAGTCCATACAAAATGGGTCAAGAGCGTTGAACATAAAGCATCTTCCCTTCATGCCTTACATGACCTCATCAGTGGAGTTGAAAGCCTATTGAACATGGATAAAAAAATGCAGTCAGGCCGCCAGTAATATTGCAAACATAGGTCGGTAAAAATTTAGAGCTCAATCAGACTGGCTTCATGAAACATACCTTATCTTTAGGACTACTCAGACTAACACTCACCAATGTTTTGCTGAACAGACTCACTCCGACTCAGGCTCACTAAAATTTTTCTCAACCAGAACCACTCAGACTCTAGTTCACCAAATCATTACTCACCAGGAGTCACTCGTACTCAGACTTATGGCTTTATCCAAGTCTGAGTGAGCCAACTCGCGAATCTGTTAGCATACTATTAGCTGTTTATTCTAAGGTTTCAATGCTTTTCAACACTAATATTTCGCATAATCAGTGCTCTACTTGGCAATTTTGATCTCGTATCCTAAATACGAGTTATCAGTGGTAACGAGATGTTTTTAACAAGGCCTTCCTTTGAGAAAGAAGGGGAGGGGGAGAGCCCAGTCAAGCCCCCCCATCTCCCCCCTCCATAATTCATGCATCGGTTCAATTAATATTGCACTCGCATACGAACACTACTGCGTTGCAACAATAATTGTTGGGGTTTGACATACCAAAACCACAGTACGATTATGAGAAACGCCAGAGTGGAGGACTTCAGAAATTTCGGCCACCTGGAGTTCTTTAATGTGCGCTTAAATCCAAGTACATAGGCCTCCAGCATCTTCACCTCCATCGAAAATGTGGTTGCTATGACAGGCATTCGATCCCCGCGACCTACGGGTCACCAGTCAAGCACCATAAGCACTAGACCATCATGGCTGGTAAGGCTGACAATAATCTCAAGATGAGTAGACAGGACAAGAGATTGGTAAAAAGATGTGGAGCTCACTCAGCCGTACTCGTTAAATATACCTTGCCCTTAAGGCTCACTCGGACTCGCACTCACTAAAATATTCTTTCAATTGCAGTAACTTGAATACAAACTCTCCAAAATATTACTCACCCGGGCTCCCTCAGACTCAAAACTCATGGCACAATCTGATTCTGAGTGAGTCAACTTATTAGTGAGTTTGCTGGCCTATGCAGTCAAACCAGACGTATCAGATGTCAAGAAGATAAAATAATAGATATATATCAGTAATTCAATAAAAAATATAGGTACCAGGTCATGTGTTTTACTCCGTTACATTTACCAGCCATTTTGCTTAGTACATACAAGGAAATTACGATACTATGGCTGACAATAGTTACCTAGCCCCAGCCCAGTGTTGCTTCTCAAATATGAAACGAACTACTTGACTGCAATTCTGTGAGGTTTTTCACAACAAAATGTCATCTTGTGGATTAACAGTCTCCATAAAATTGTAGCGATTCATCTGCTGTGATTTCGGAGCAGCCCGACAAAAAAAATAAAAAATACTCACCGGCTTCAAGTCTCTGTGAGCGTATCCTTGCGAATGCATATAAGCTACAGCAGAGACGATCTGTCGGAAGAAGTGTCTTGCTTCTTCCTCGCAAAGCCGGTCCTTTTCGACAATGTAGTCGAAGAGTTCGCCACCGGGACAGTACTTCAGAGAAAACAAACACTGAGTCAGGTGAATGATTCAATAATTTTGAGCTATAACCTAAAAGACATATGTATTCAGTTAACTAACCATTTTACATTCAACCACAAAAGTTTGCAGACTATTCGAACGCATGCCAAACTGCCTGTTCACGCCACCTAGCGGTGTGCCATCTACTGTCGACCAGAGTGCTAGGCCGGAAACTGGTCTTTTTGTTATTCACTGGCCTTCCGATTTTCTACTGCCGCATATAGCATTGTCCGCAGTTTTCACGCCAAGCGCTTATCTCCAATATGACCGTCTCATTTCTATTTTCATAGCAGTATCAAAGCATCACGGCATGCCCCAAATGGTGTTCCGTTGGCTATAGGTGCCACTTTGAGACAAAAATTGTAAATGATAACAGTTATGCTCAGCTCTCAAGACAGAAGCATGTAAACATCCGCCACGGAGGAGCAGTGGCTACGGTGCTCTGCTGCTTACCCGTAGTCGCAGGTTCGATCCCGCCGGGGCAGTCTCATTTCGGTGGAAATGAAATGGTTGAGGCTCGTGTGCAGTGCAATGTCAGTGTACATTAAAGAACATCAGAAATTTCCGGAGATCTACTACAGAGTCTCTCATAATCAAATGGTGGTTTTGGGAGGTAAAATCCCAGATAGTATTATTATTATTATGATTATTCAAAGCACGCAGACACAGATGCCGAAAAGTACGTTTTAATAAAAAGTGAAAGCTGAAAATTATTAGTACCCAGTCAGAAAATAGACAGGTCATAGATTACAGGGATGCTTCTCGGGCGCTGCGGTGCAGTCGACCGTTGCTGACGTAGCGGAAGTGCCGCGAAGAGGCTTTTGGCCATGCGCTCGCGTGGTCCGTAAACTTATATTGTCGACTGTACATGCTTGTACATCGTTACGATGAACAAGCAGGCATGTGACAACACTTCACTGAGTGACAGTGTATGTGCCTGAAAACAAATTGTGCAAGTTCAGAGGCACCTAGAGGTGTGAATTTGTCTAATCTGCTACACAGGACAAATACATTAATTCTGCATCGTGATTAGTAAAACCTAGCCATCTTTTTTTTATATTTAAGCTACTTCTTGCTGCCAACAGGAAGCCAGCATTACGTTTGCATACACTTCATAAGTCGGGCAGTTTCAGCATTTTTTGCCCAACGAACTGCATCAATACACTTTTACGTCCCGTAAAAAGTGTTTGCCTTTTATTGCTATCGCAAACAGTTACTAAATGAAACAAAATCAATCTGTTCCATGGTCAGCAGTTTGTAGTCTCAATGCAGATCACTAAATTTGGGTAAACCACCATCCACCTATACATGTGATGGTTCTCTAGGCAGACACGACCATGTGCCAGTGCAAGTGAGGTTTGCTTTCCGAGAATGAAAACCCACCAGGGCTAGCAGCTGACAAAAAACAACACTTTTAAGTTCCAGTCGCTTTAGAGTAATTTCCAGTTCAAGTTCTAAACCACCTCCCCTTTTTTAAGCGTGTGCTAAAACATGAACACACACTGAACAGCAAAGCAAGCCTTCAAAGACTGCTACAAATACACGTCTCTTGACACAGTACCAAGCAAAGATTTTGTCTCCACCTCAGCTATGGAAAAAAAGAAGCAGTGTAGGCCACATAAGAAAAAAAATTTGCAAGGCCACATCTTCTGATACATTGAAGGCACAAGCTTTAGAAGTATAATGACATAATCCTTATGGCAAATCACTTTTGCAAAATCCCACAAGGTGAAGGAAAGGTTATGAAAGGAAAAATTGCCACTCACACATGAAGCATAGCAGAGAGCTACACAGAAATTTAAATGGATCTTAGAAAGAAGTTGACGAAAAATTCATCGTACCCCCATACCAGCATGAAGGAAAGTGTAAATTTAAGGGCTCGTTTTCAATCTTAGACACAATATTGACAAGAACTAACATACAATAATGCCAGGGAAAGTATCAGTTCCTGGCGGTGGCGCGTTATCTTTCCGTCCACTTTTCTTCACATTTACATTACAATTACTTTTAGCAACGCTACCCACTTCACCTGGCATTATTGTTTGTTAGTTTTCCTTAATATTATATCTAACGAAGGAAACGAGCCCTTAAATTTACATCTTCCTTTATTCATAGCGAGGGTCTCGTTCTGGCAGACTTGTACCTTGAGGTGGTGTGCAAGGGACTATTGGCCATTTGCCATCCCGTAGCAAGATGACTTACTACGTGACGCCAAACAGGCAAAAAGAGCTTTCCACACTCTCTGTAATGGCAACAGGTGGCGCTGACTAAAGCTCCCACGTTTAGATGCACATATACACCTTATAAAGTGGACGGAAGGATGACCGCCACGGTAGCTCAGTTCAGTGGTAGAGCATTGCAGGCGTTATTCAAAGCTCGCAGGTTCAGATCCTGCCGGTGACAAGTTACCTTTTCATCCACTTGTTTTTCTTCACATCTACAATACAATTACTCCTAATAACAACCCCTATTCTTTTCCTGGCATTACTGTCTGTTAGTTCCCATTCATACCAGGATGAATTTTTTAAATAAAAATCTTCTCTTCCTGAAAAATCCATATTAATTTTTCTGTAGCATTGTGCTACAAATTGGTGGATGCCAATTTTCTATTTCATAATGCTCAATAGTTTTGCCAAAAATCTTCATTACATAACACCAACTCCTAAACATGCGACACTGCACCTTTAGGCATTGGTTTTTCTTTGAAAATGGCGGCTAGCACACACATGTCCAGCAGAGGAACAATGAAAAAATATATATATCTTGAGTACACTATTTTTTTTTCTATTTGAAAGACATCGAGCCGTCAACTTCAAACAAGGGCACTATGGGACAGGCACTGTAATCCAACTTTATTCAGACACTCTGCCCTCGACACAAAAAATCCTGAGTGGATGCACATCCAGAGTAGCAGATTAAAGTACGCAGACTAGTTATAATTGTCTATTGAGCATTCAGCAGATAGGAGTGGTGACACAGAGAACCTCTTTGCTTGATAGAAAAAAGGGAGGGCTTCCGAAAGCTCCCGAGCTAATCTGTCCCTACTGTTAGCAAAAATTTTGATCTCCTGAAGACGTTGCTCACAGCTTGTTCTATAATGTTTGTAGGAGCAACAATGGGCAGGTAGATTCATGGACATGGCTGAATCATAATCTAAAGATTTTGCATGTTCCCGGCACGTTCATTAACACAGTAGAAAGGTATGAGCCACGTAAACCTTGCCACATGAAAGAGGAATCTCATAAACTGCACCCGTGGCACATCGCACATGCGGCTTCATGTGTTTTATTCTGCAGCCGGAAACAGCAGGGCTCACTTTGGGGAACATTCTTGCCAGCTTTCCTAAAGCAGAAAACACTATCGGAAATGCACATACATAACACACTGAATCTACCGGGGACACACATCGGAAGTGCACTGAAAGCACATGCACCCAGAATCTGTCACATTAAATGCAATGAGTCTATTTTCAATAAGCTTAGTTCAAGTACAGTGTGCGTCCCCTCACGTCTTCCTTTGTGTTTGTGTTAACAGTATAGTGCTAGATATCTTCCAAAAAGAAAAATATGCATCACCAACTAGTGCCACTGCTCCGCCGCAGTGGTCTAGTGGCTAAGGTACTCGGCTGCTGACCCGCAGGTCGCGGGATCGACTTCCGGCTGCATTTCCGATGGAGGCGGAAATGTTGTAGGCCCGTGTGCTCAGATATGGGTGCACGATAAAGAACCCCAGGTGGTCAAAGTTTCCGGAGCCCTCCCCTACTGCATCTCTCGTAATCATATGGTGGTTTTGGGACGTTAAAGCCCACATATCAATCAATCAACTAGGGCCACTATTTGTTTTGTTAAGTGGTCTTGTGAGTATGTACACATACACACACACACACAGATGCCATTCTCGCCCACATGAATCTTGCACAGCTGTCGCCGAAGCAAAAGCAATTGACAAGATAAACACTGTCGCCCCAAGCTGTAAAGTGAAACACTGCTAATGAAAAGTTCGAATATTCTCTGCAGTAGAAAAACAACGAAACGAAACAACAACGCTCATATTTCGTTCTGGTATCGAATTGCCAGGTTTAGAGACTCAATTCGGTCTGAAGGGCAGTTCTCTAAACCTTCCCGTTTGTTTCACTTCTACAAACGATTCTCGCGGAAAGCCTCACCTCAAGCACGAGGTAAATCTTGGTGGCCGTCTCAATAACTTGGTACAGCTTGCAGATGTTCTGGTGGCTAAGATCTTTCAGGGCGGATATCTCCAGTTTCACCCTATGTAAGTCGTCCTGCATCATGGCGAAAACCACACGTTTAGAAGTACTGTCAAGACACTGCCTGTAACAGGGATACTCACGCCGAGGGTGCGCTTGTCCATAATCTTTACAGCCACTTTCTCACCGGTAAGAATGTGGAGGCCCAGCTTAACCTTGGCAAAGCCCCCTGCAAAGTAGGAACGTTTATGTAAACCCTGATTGATAGGAGACGAACGCTACTACCTACCAGAGCCTATTGTTTCGAGCAGTATGTACTGCTCATCTAAATCCTCGTTCGTCTGAGTATGCGGCATGTTGCTTGGTGCTCAGCGAGTCAAAAACGTTTAAGTTCGGGCGCGGGCGCCACTTAGCTTCGGGACGCACGAGGTGAGATGACGCTTCTTTTTCCAACTAAACGCTAAAAACAAGTTATCGTCTATGCACTGGGTTCGAGTAGGCTACCACGAGCAGGTGGGGTCAAAGGCGTACTATTTAACTGTCACGATAGCCGAAAAACAGATTTTCCACCATTTAAAAAAAATCGCCTCCACAGAACGGAAATGACGCCTTGGCCAGTGAAAACGAAGCCCAGTCTGAAGCCAACGAATTCGGTGATGTTCACCTGGCGGAAAAACAACAAACTACTCACCACGTAACAAAATTAAACGATACATAAAAAAACAATATAGTGATCTGTTTGATAAAATTACCTGCTGCAATTGAACAAATTTTTTTCTTGACTCATTCAGCATACTATTATTGTAATCGGAACGCGCGGAACGACGCGCACAGCTCTTGCGACGTACTTCCTTTGGCAGAACTGCTTTTACGAATGGCATCTTCGGCAGAGGTGCAGTGGCGCCCGTGACGGTGGAAAAAAGGTTACCTCAAACACCGCACAAGTTTCACGCCTCGCTACGGGCCAGTCGAACGTGTGAACCACAAAACTCGAATCCGCTACAGCACCACTCTATGCGAGAGACGTCAATTAGCAGACGACAATTTCCGGCGTCCTGTTTGTACTGGTAATAAGACTGCAAACAACAGAAAATAAAACAATGCGGGACACTTGCGAGACGCTACGTGTCTAGCGGGTGCGCATCTGTTCTCCGTGCGGTTGTGGTGCATCGATTCTGTATTAACTCGACGAGGGTTACGGTAATTTTCGCATCGCCTTAGGAGTCCAGTGGAATCCTGGCAGCAAAAGTAGCCTTGTGCGAGTACGGTTGGACGATGTAAGCTTACGCACGCTTTTTTCTGTCCGTTCGGCCGTGTTATGCCGTAGCGCCAGCTGTAAATTACGCCTAAAATGATGAAACGTCTCCGCGTCGTCTGCTCGCGCGCGCGGGCTGATGGGATCGCATTAATTCCATCACGCTTCACCGTCGACCTCCGCAGTGCCGCCGTGGCGTGCACTCGTGTCGTGGCCGGCCCCGCAGAACAAGCGGCACCGCACCGCAAACTGTAGGTGTTCTGTCACAGAACACCTAACCGCACGCGTGGTGCCCATGAACGTACGGCGGGGCACGAGTGCACAAAAAACGCCACCAGTGCCACCTTCCGAAGATGCCATAAGTAGGCAAGGAGGTTATACTAAAGCTTCTGGAGTAGCGGAGGGGCTCCGTGGCTGAAGCCGACGCGCCGCCATAATGCTTAGGGCAGAAAGCGAATAAGCGCATTGTAGCGTACGTGGCTTTCGCGTTGTTTTTGTGCTAGTTATGTTGCGTATGGTGCCTCTAATTGAACAAGACTGTTCTGAATACGTCTGTGATTACTTTTCGAGATCACGATGGTGGGCTCTTGGGTAGCATTTGGCAGCGCGAATCGCGTGAAGCGGACACAACTTTCGATGTGTAAGCATGCTTCGCTCGCTCGCTTTTCCTCACACATTTTCGCGACTGCGACTGCATTCGTGAGTATATAGATTTCTTTTTTGCGCCCGGGTGCATAAAGACACTTTGAATAATTTTTGTACGTTTCGGGATTCCAAAGACGCCATATTGCGCGGCACACGAGAGCGCTCTGAGGCGAGAAGGTTGAGCGCCAAATAAGAATGACAACTTATGTTCAGTACACATGTTAAGCAAGGATGCTTCGATGAGACGTTGTAAATGACGAGACGACGGGCATGTAACAATATTACCGTGTTTGCATCATTCCAATTGCACTTACAAAAGCCAGTACGTGAGTGTGCCTATGAGCGCTTCGTTTTTGAAAGGTAGCACCGGCTCTGCATTTCTGGGATTTCGAGTTTCTTATATTTGCATGAGCCCTATGCTCCAAATGCCAAAATTTCTGATGTTGCGATGGGCCGCTTTTTATGTAGGAGAAAAAGAAAAAGATCTTTTCTGAAAAGACAAGAAAATAAACACTTTAGCCTAAAGCGCCTCTCATTTATGGAGCTGTCAAAATCCCCCCACACCCAAACTTCACCCACAAAAGAGTGGTACAGCAAAAAAAAATTAATCGCTAATGAGGTACAATTAACAGCTGAAAAAGAAGGGTAAGACAGCACTATATAGAACCAACGGGACCCTTTAAAATGTATTGAGGCTTCTCGGAATTTCATTGACCAGATAATGGAGCAGAACATATTATATAAGATGAAGGATTGGAAGTTTTCCAAGCATCGTTTTTCTCCGGATATCCATGAGATTCTCAAACGGGTACGTCAAAAGACGAATACCCTCTCCCTCCCCCATAGTAATAAAATAATAAAAAGAGTTTGCACACACGCTGCGCTGTTATTCGCCAAGGGCTTATGGTTCCGTGCGAGTGAAACTTTTATTTTCACTCCATCTCCTCACTGGTTACTTCTGCTGTGAGCCAACTGTGTAAACATGCAATGCTAATTGATAACCCTGAGTACCTTTTGTACAGCGAATGCCGTTATCAGATCAGAACACGGGTCACGCGCGGTGCCGTACGTAGTTCTCCGCCACCGCCCGTAACCAGTATCGAACGAAAAAAAAAACTCGGTAAATAAAAATCACCAATGACACAATAGAATTCAAACCCGGGTCCGCTGCATGCCTGTCCAGTATTCTACCGCCACGTTAGTGCTATGAACTGAGTAAATAAAAAAAAAACACCAAAACCTGTGTCCGCTGCGTGCCAGCTCAGTATTCTACCACAAAGTGACGCCAGTGCTTGGATCTTTATAAAATGGCCTTAGGTAGGCTTTATGTCGGGAAAGGAATTGCGTTATTATGAGCAATAAACCATTTTATAACATCAAAGGAACAGCCAGGCGTCACACAATGCGAATTGCTCAACGTCCAATGCTCCAACCTATTACAAAACTTGTTCTTGGTCACCTATTAACTGCGGCGCATACCCACTTCACACATATTTCTTCATCGTCGTCAGCCACTACATAAAAAAATTGCATAAAATTTACAGGTGTGTAGTGGATACACTTCTCCAAAGAATCACGATCGGACAGCATAGTGAATGCTGGCCTACTACGCAAAATTTATGACTATTTATGGCGCTGTGGGTACCCAGCAGTGTGCTTTTAGCATGCAAAAGAGTGTTCAGAAAAGGCTCTGAAAGACCGTTGTTCTAGCTTTTGCTGTGACTGTGCTGCGTATTCCGCTCCGGCTTGGCGTTTTTTTTTTTTTTAATACGCTTAAAACGCTTAAGTGTCAAAGAAAATTAGAGCAAATGGGCATTAAAGTCCCTCGCACGTTACCTCGCCTCCCAAGAATAACAAACAGGTGCTTTAGTAGCTATAACAAAACGCACGGCCGCAAGTGCCCAGAGCATTAGTGCGCTACAAGGCAGTCGCCGCCTCATTGAGCCCTGAGCAATATGGCCGCCGAGGCTTCCCTTCGATACATGGGTAACATGGGCGGGTATGCGGGACCGCCACTCCGGAAGCTTTAGTATAACCTCCTTGGGTATGTGCATTGTCTTGCTCACCTGCCAGCCTCTTCAAATCAAATATATCGGTGAATAGCATAGAGTTGCATACAATAATGGCGAATAAGGTTACAAACAGCTAGCTGTTATTGTTCGCTAAAGTCACGGAGGTTTCGAACTAAGTCTTGGGATGAAAAAAAAAAAAAAAAAACTCATCAGCATCACATGATTGCACAATCTTTAAACGTATTTTTTTCTTCATGAGAGTTAATTAAGGCACCGCTTATCAAAACAGCCAGCAAATGATGACTTTTGCACCATATTGGCGTATATAGCCCGGGAGGAGAGACGTTGGAGAGAAAAATGGACGCAAAAAAATATTGAGCACGGCTTTCAGCGCCTGTAGAAAAATGCGGAAAGGTTCTGTGGTATCATAAAGATAAGGAGGACTTCCTTGCATAAAGATGTAAAAAAAAGAAGGAGAAAAGAGGTGACGTCTATGACCGAGCGCGCTATGGGAAATACAAATAACTGGGCGTAGGGAGGGGGGTAATTGTACTCAACCAAAATTATAGATCATGCATGGTGCTGTTTCAACCAATGTTCTGTGCCCCATTCCCCCCTATTCGTACAATTTGGTGGGTATATAATCGTGCACACACAAAACATGCTCAAAGATTTCATGATAGGTCGGGCGACACCCCGGGCTTCCTTCTTCAAAATTAGTATTCATTTCATGGTGCGATGCGACCCAAAGAAGAATCTAGCTAGTAACGTTGATGCGACCATCTACGAAGTTTTTGCAGATTGCTGAAATCCACAATCACTTAATTTGTGCGAGCATTTGGGAGAGTTCCTCTCCTTTACTGCTGAACTTTTTTTTTTTTGGGCGTCCTTTTTTTCAGCTCAGATGAAACAAATGTTTCAGCACAAATAATGGTTGATTATGAAGTTATTTTAGGTGGCCTTCAGATTAAATTGATACATGGGTTAGTGATATTAATTACTTGTAACAATCACTTTTTTTACTCACGATTACGGCGAAAGTACTTATCGGAGGAGAGATTGTTCGATAGCTGGATAGCGTAAGACTGTGTGAAGACTGCGCATATCTGTGTGTTGCTTCTTAAGTCTGGATTTGCGCCCGGTCTACTTTAGTTGGAAGTGACGCTTGTGCTTGTCGATGAGTGTTTCTTTACTTAGTGTGTGTGTTATTTGCGGCCAAAGCATGTCAGTAAGCAAGTAACAACTAGGCGAACAATCAGTATTGTTACAATTACGGCCAATGCAGCGGCAAAATTCTTTGGTAGTTAGTTTCAATTCTCTTTACACACACATTACCATTTCAGTAACGTTGATCCGGGTTTCAATCGGTGCGTTTGCGCGTTCGTCGGGATCAATGATTTTCTAGAGTACGACCATGCATAGCCTGCGCTACCGATAGCAACTGTGGCCAAGACGACCGCATTACTTATCAAGTCATGATCATGTTCGTCAACTGACAGGCACTTGCTGCTATTCTTTTTGGCCTAAATTGACCATCGCTACCGATGACAGCGGCATCACACAAACGTGAACAATTGACGTCACAATTGTTGCTTCATGCTTGCATAAAGTTTCATACAATAATTATTGTATGAAACTTTATCCATGCTTGTTTCCACGCATGGAGGAAAGAACTATTTTTTTTTATGTTTCCACGCAACCAAGAAGGTAGCGTTGCGCGTCATAGGCGCCATGACTAAAACATCTGTCCATAGTCTTATCTCCCCTTTGGAACTTGATAACTAAAAGTTCCATTTAATAAATCAACTTATGTATAAAAATTCACATTAGAATTATGGGGCTTTGAGATTTTCCGTTTGAAATTAAGGCGCGAATAAAAAGAAGTGTCTGAGCACACGTCACGACGACCTTGTTTCGTCATTGGTTTTCCTGAAGCCGTGCAGCATTCTGGGTCACAGCGAATGTAATGGCGGCGGTGGCCGAGGTAAGTGGGTTCTTCTGCTTCGTCTCCCGGGTTTCGGTCGCGAGCAAGTTTCCCACTACTTGTGGCGTTGATGACGTCATATATGGAACTCCGGGTTCCAGTGTTAGTAGTGCTTCTACGAGTATTTGTTGACGCGATGCTAATGATTGACTCGGCGCAACGTGCGGAAAGTGCGACATCGCCATTTTGTTCTTTCGGGCCTCTTTGAAAACAACGTACTGCTCGTTCGTGTGTGGCTATAGCTTGTAGGGTCGCGGACTTTCGTATGTGTGAATGTATGTATTAGGATTCAAAATTATTGTGTTAGATGTGGAAGTAAGAGTTGTAGCGATTGCTCGGTGGTTATCGTTAATGGCTTTTCCCGTTTTTGAATTTTTTTTTTCTATTCCTCGGTTAGACCTCGGGACTCAAGTCATTGGAGCCTGACACTTCTCTGCCGAAGTCGACAGTGGATGATGACGACGACGAATTGGAGGCGCTGCGCACTGCGGCGTTGTTGTCTATGAAAGTCAGAGAAAAGCGTAACTTGGTTAGTGTTTTTGTCCCACGTGAAGCGTTTTGTACTTTTCTTTCGTGACACGCACACTTTATTTCAGAGCGCTGTGAATTCTGAAGCGCACGAGCGGTCTGGTTCGTATTCCGGCTACAGCTGTCTTCCAAAGCATTCCAACGAGAGAGCCACCGCCCCTGGAAAGGTAAGCGATGAGTTTCCAAGTTATTGCCAAGTTTAAGGGTTCAGCTGAAGTCGAGCAGATCGGTGCTCGAGTTGTGCATGACGCTTTTTTCTTTTTTTTATCTGCTGCTTCTCAACCCTCTATCCAGCTTTCGCCTTGTTAGCATAGACTAGTCTGCAACAGACTGCATTTTATGTAGACATCGTAAGCTTATGAACAACAGTAAAATCCTGTAAATGAGACCCTGCATAAGCATTCAGTATTTGGAATTTTGGTCGTTTGTGCTTATTGCGGGTGGGGCCCTGCAAGTGACGGTGGCTGATCGGCGCGGTCCTGTTTACAGGTACGCGCGAGTCGCGCTTGATTCGCTCCAACTGCGTCGATATAGCAGCCTTCCAGGCATATATAAGCTGTAGCATATCCGACGTACCCCGATTAGCCAGCCTTCGGACATTTATTCGTCACATGTACACGAGTCCGAACGATATGTCTTGTGCTGACACAGCTAGGCGAAGCGTAGCGTCCCCGTCGTGGCCTGCGGTCGACGCACGATCAGCTGTGAAAAAAAAAAAGGAGAGGGGGGGCGTCGCCCTTAATACTGAGCCGCTATCTCTTAATTGCACAGCTGCGCACATAGCAAGAGAACGGGCCCCGACTTCTGTAACGCGCGGTTCATTGCGTTAATTACGTTGCACACACACTCGCGAAAAAGTTCATCACACTCGCGAAACGCCCGGCGGACGACGCGTCGTTGATTCCTAAACTCTGAGACATGATCTCTTAATTGCACAGCAGCGCACACAGCAAGAGAAAGCGCCCCAACGTCTGTAAGGCGCAGTTCATTCCGTTAATTAAAACGGCAAGCATCGCTCATGCACTCGCAAAATGCACCGCGGACGACACCAAACTCACGCGAGGAAGCCACAACTACAGGGGCGAATTTCTCTACCAAATTTGGCGGCAGTCTGGCAACACTGACCCTCTCAGTCTGGCAACATCTTATGCAATGCCAAACAGAAGTGCAAGGGCTTTTGATATATCTCAAGAGTTTCGAGCAACCATCTCAAATTGCAATGTGGGCACGGGTACATGGCCCTCTTTTGAACCCTGTTTGCTCTGCAGCCATCGTCCTTTCTGTATGTAGCTTTAACCATATGTGCTTGCACATTCTAGCCTATAATTTTGTCCCCTAAATTATCTGGCCATGTGAAACAGCCTTGCTTCATAAGACTGCAATAGCACCGCATAAATACACTTACTGGATTGTGCCTTCATGTGTGTGAGGGAGCTGCGGCAGATTGTAAGGAAATATGACAATTGTTGATATGTACAAGCAGAAATGTAACGTCCCACTTTGCTGCGATTCTTATTTTGCATCTTCCAATCACTTTGCAGCCACTCTTCAGCTGGAAGCAGCACACACGACCCAACCTTATCGTGATACAGCCTGTGTCACTGGAAGGAAAAGAAGCAGCATCCCCATGCAGTGCTTCAAATTTGGTGTTGCCTCAGGATCGGTGGTGCCCAAAGCAGGGCCAAGAAAGTCCAGCCTCAAGTGGCACTGGCCAATCCAAGCGCAGGGGTATGCTGCCCAGTTGTGCTGCACTTCTCTCAATATCATTGTTGGCTGCCCGTTATAGTTGACTGTGTTGGCATAAAAGTGAGAGGTGATGGGGGAAACCTCGCAAAGGAAAAAAAAAGAGCTCAGTTTTGCAAGATGTCATGCCAGCTTTCTCCCATTTACAAGTGTTAGTAATGTATGCTGCTATGAGTAATCTGAACTGTTTTTATTTCATCACTTAATATGTGTATAAATACAAAACAAGATGCAACTATTTCTCATGATGCGGCTTTTGTGTGGCCAGTCGCAAAGGAATATAGTATATAAGTGCATATGATGAGCAAATATTGCTTGGTGCCAGAATGTACTAAAAATGATGTACTTTTTGTGTGAAATCTATGTTTATAGTCGTGTGGTTTGCCCAAAGAAATGTGCATTAGGCTTTTTAGCGTCAAGTCAATATGTGATGTGTTTTTCAAGTGTTTCATGTTCTTGTACAACATAAAGCAGAATGGTTTCTGTGCCGGACAGCCATTCTGTTTTATTATAAACTTCACTGCTGTTTTGAAGCTTGGTTATCACAAGGTACTTCACATATAGCAGTAGTGTTAACACGGTACTTTTTTAAAGAAATGGTTTATTTGGTTTGTCTAAATTGCGAGATTCATCTGAAAACATTGACAGTCAAAAATTAAATTTTTATCTCTCGAAAGGTTTAGCTAAACTTCTTACACTACCCAGTAATTGTGAAATTGAATCTGAAAGCACTGATTTCATGCATAACCTAGAAATGCCCAATTCTATAGGGATTTCTTCTTCAACATAATTATTAAAGTTTAAGAGGTAATAAAAACTTGAGAGCAATTTTAGCACGCTTCACCTTACGCAGCTTGTAAGCGCGCTGATTTATGACACACTCATGTTTATACAGTCGAACCCCACTACAACCAAACTGATGGGGTGCGGAAAACATTTTTTTGAAGTGAAAATTTCGATGTACGGAAATAAAAAAAAATATCGCTGACCAGAGCCAGCAAAACAAAGGAACGTTTATTCTCAAAATTCAAAAAATGTCCGCTGCTTCCTATTCTTTCCCAGCAGCGTCGAGACGTGATTCTCACTAGGCATATTGAGGCCATGCTGAAAAGAACGCTGAAACAATGCCTAGAACCGCTTTCGTGAATGAACCAAACCGTTGGATTAACACGTAACACCAGCAGCTGTCTGCCGTCAAAAGTATCCGGCAACGCCGAGATGGAAGCAGGGCATCGTGGAGCGGCGACTTTTGCATTATTCTATACCATTCTTATCATCCATCACTTGCGACTAGCTGATATTATTGATGATGGCGACGAACAGCTGCTCTGATTAGTTACCATACTGGCCAAGCATGAGCATAATGATAAGCATCGGAAAAGGCATCATGTCGCTGTTGCACCCAGCAGCTGCGTGAAGAAAACCATGGACTGAGCTTCAGCTTCAGATTGTCTGCGGTTCAAAAGCAAGCCAGTGGCGAAACAAAAGCTGGGCAGTCTCATTGCCATCACTATCGAGCAGTGCCCAGTGCTTGAACAGCGGCGGTTTCTGGCGGTGCCAACGCGTGTTTTAGACTCGGTTGACGCATTTTCAGGCTCTGAAAATGGATCGAAATGTTAAAGATGGGGTTTACTGCATAGCAATAAGTATCTGAGCCTGGAATTGCATCGCAAAATTTCGTTGAAGCGGGACGATTGAAGAAAAAGTGTTTGTTATGGCAACAATATTTATGCGTTGACTCCTATAGACTGCTGACAGGGAATCATGAATTTTTCGTTGAAGCGGCGTTCGTTGTAGCGGAGTTCAACTATACTTGGAAGGCTTTTTGTGGATTGCCTTTTTTTTTGTTTTATGTAAATGTTGTACTCTTCTTGTTCACGTAGTGCATTTCCCCTGCAAGTTAAGGGTGATTTAAGTGGTTGCATGGTAGCTTGCACTCTCTTGGAGCCACACTTCAGGAAGGTGGCTCCAAGGCATTATCCACTGATAATGCGATTTTTAAATTTTCCCAGCACGATATTTCAGTGTTATTGATGAGTGCTTCTATGGAGTGCGTTTGTGCGTACAGTGGAAAGCATTTAAAGGACCAGTAAACAACCCCAAGGTCCAAAAATTGTTAACAGAAATATGTGCACTTTTAATTCATGAACATGCTGCCGCAAGAATTTTGCGAATACGTGCTATATTAAGGAAGTTACAGGAGGTACAACAGCGCATACAGCTGATTTCAAATTTCCGCGGGGCCTTGCCACCCTTCTCCTTCAGAGAGGAAGGAAGGCGTGGCCCATCGTCGCGACTCCGCCCACTTAGACAATGTGACAAGACGTCAGTGATTGATGTCATCAGCGAACTTGATCATTTGCAACGCACTTCCGCTTGCTGCAATGCCTGGTTGTTTACTCTTTACCCAGTGCCGATGCTTCTCTACAGCCCAATCGCTCGATTTTCAGCAGACACCGATTTGCAGCAAAGCTGCGCCCTATAACCTGGACATGAAATTGGCCCGATTTTTCTGAAGTTCGATTTTTTTGAGAGCAGACTGTCGGACCATCTGGGAGCAGCAATATAATACACAAATAATGCGGTTAATAGTGGGTACGCTGATTAACAGGTGGCGCGACAATCTGCTCACTCCCGAAAACTGCGGCTGTGAAGCATCCAGATTTCGATGCAAAGAGCCTGTGGGGATTTCGCAACTCGTATAATTGAATAGCTCAGTCGTAGCAATGGTTGGGAACAGGAACTGTCATTGACTTCACTACTGTTTGTTGAGACCTGGTTTAGACCAATCGACAAGCTGTGTGCTGCGTCACGTTGCTGATCACCTAGTTGTGGTCACTGTGCATGGAGCATTGGTCAGGCGTAGGGAAGGATTGCGGGAATCGTTTTCGAAATGGAGGCTCTGCGTGGCGCGCAGCTCTGTAATATTCAGAAAACGTGATCACTGCATTGTACTCTACGAATTACGGAGTTTGTTTGAGGGGTGTAAAAAGAACGTCGGAGCTGTTGACTGGCCCTTTAAAAATAGTCTGAAATGCACCCGATCCTGCGACTGCACCGAGGTAACTCAAAATTTAAATGGCATTTTCTCCAAACACTTATTTCCATCGGAAAAGGAACATTTTCTCTGTAACGATTGCAGCTATCAGGTGCAAACTTTTATGACATCTTTCTGAATGACATGCGCCCTTTCTGAAGCAAAAGAATAGTGTTTCTACCATAATTGTATTTTCTACGAAAGTTTTTCTTTTTTTTAAAAGCCCAAAAGTTCTAGTGATGAGACGACATAATTGGTATATAAGTAGTGGTCATGCCTACAATTATTATTAGGGGCAAGTTGATATTGCACCACTGCCGATGTACGAGCGATTTGAAGGTAGCAGGAATTGGCTACACTAGTGTTTATTACCCGTGCCACAGGGGCAGAGAAAATGGCATTTACCTCCTAATTCCTTCAGATTGAAGGTCATTCGCGCGGTGCCACACAGATTAACGAAATGGCATTCACCCAAATGCCATCCAAATGCCATTCGTCACCTAATGCCATCGCCAGAACTCATTCGACTGAGAAATGAGTACTCTCGACGGCACAGCTGATGAATTAATTGTATTAAACAACATTTGATTCGACTAATAGGAAAGGTTTTGCGTATTTTATTTACACTAATCACTTAAAGAACTGCTTAAAAACTTCTCTTCGGCTGGTAGGTGCTGTAAAATAAATGAGCCAGGCGCCATTTTCTTTTTACGCTGCAGATCTGACTAGCTTTGGCTTAAGTTGCTACACGGTTGGTTGCAATGTCGTGAAACAAAGTAACGAACAAACGAAATCAAACGGCAGCGTAATATGCTTATTTATACTGTTAATTATTATCGGATGTGTATGAAGCATGTAAACGCTTCTTTATTTTTTTATTGCTACTCACTCAATGCTCACGAGGAAGGTGCTGCGATCGACATCATCAAGTTAAATGTCATTCGCTTTGGACACGGAGCTTTGGACGTGTAGCAGCGCTGCCGAAAAAAATGTCATTCGGGAACTGAATGCCTTCGCTACTGAATGTCATTTTCTATGCCCGTGTGGCACAGGTATAAGAGTGGGAAACATCGTATGGATCTCAAAAATGAGCCCGACACAGCAGATCAAGTTTGTTCAACTGGAATACTCACTATTCAGAAGTTCGTTTAACTGAAAGATTTTTGTGTGAACTTCCTAGGGAAACTGTCGGAACTTTTTCAAAAGTTCGTTATTCCAAAATATTCATTAAGCCGACGTTCGTTCAATTGAGAGTTCACTGTATTTTCAAATAAAAAATGGCATGCAGTTAGACACATGTCGCAGCACTGTGCATGGTGAAGTAGCAAGCGCACGGTTTTTAAAAGAGGGAGTGCAGGGCAGCCAGATGACTATTGGTTGCACAGGCATATAGTCCACATTGGCAGGGAAGCTAAATATATGGTTTGATTTCTTCTGACATGCCTTACAAGTAACTACTTCGAAAATTCATGAAGGTAAATTTTTTCCCAGGCAGCTCTTCTAAACAACCACCTAAATTTGCAGGGTGGGGGGGATATAGCAAAAGATGCGCGAGATGCTTGGATAATTGTCACTGCTTATTATAGGCTGCTTGGCATGTTACAGTAGCCGACGGATTTTCGGACTCCTAAAATTCAGGCTTGTTGGATAATTCAGACTTCATTAATTTGCCGTCAAGGTCCCTATAGCAGTAATTCATTTGAGACCGATTTGTGGATGAATGTATGCCCTATAGTTCGATTTTCCAGACCACATCGCTCGTTTTGAGCGGTGTCGTTCGGTTTTGAAAGCCACCATGTTGGATTTTTCATTGGCTTTGTCAAGTTTGGCTTTTAGGGGCTAGTTGCATTGCCTCCAAAACTGGAAGCATTCACAATCTTCCGCTTTGCAGACAGTGTTCAATCTTCTTTAGTTGGCAAAACTGTCTAGGGGAACTTCTTTTTTTCAG